CCCCCCCGGCAGCCATCATTTCCAGCATGGCTCCCCTGCCACTCTGTGGATGGCACGAGGCTCCCCAGGCCTGTTCCCCAGTCCGCGTGCCGCGGACGCGTACGGGTGTCTCGGCCCCCCTCTGCCCCGGCCCCTCCGCTCCGGCCCCTCTGCCCCCTCCGGCCCCCCGGCTCCGGCCTCCGGTCAAGGGTCCAGATTTCACCCCGCCCCCCTCCTGTGGGGCGATCCGGCCGCTGGCCATTCCAGGCCCGCCCTCGCCCCCTTGAGCCGGAGCCCCCCTACTGCACCGGGTGTGGGTGTGGAGACCCGCCGGCGTTCCGGGGCATGCCCACACAGACACCCGCAGACGCACACCCATCCCGACTGGGCTACGCCCCTGGACAACCCTGTCCCGGCCGCCCGGTTTGTCCTGTCCCTGTTATCATTTGGGGGAAGGGGAGAGGGGGCGAGCGCGTCCTGGTGCGCATGCACCCCGGTCCGGCCCCCCCGGCCCCAGCATGTGGAACAGCGCGCCCGCAGGCATGCCTCCGGCTCCAGGGCATGCAGGGGACAGAACAAGAAAGGGATACCAGGGACAGGGGGTCCCGCGTGCTGGTTCTCTCCGGAACGCGCCCCCCCCCCCCCCCCCCCCCTTGCTCGGCGGTCGTGTCTCCCCATCTGCCGCTGGAGCCCCGCTCCCTTGGCCGCCCGATCGCGCCCAGTCAAGCCCACTGCCGCCGCTACGGCCGCCGCACCAAATAGCTGGGGATTTCTGTGGCTATCTTCTTCCCACCGCGCGGTTCTCTCCCCGTGTCCCCCCAGCGCGATCTCACGCCCCCTCCTTCTACCCCAGTGTTTGTGCCTGTTTCTCCTGGCCCCCTCCGCCTCGCCGCCCCCCCCCCCATCCTCCCATCCCCCCGATGTCCCAATCCGGCCTGGCCCGGCCCGGCCCGGCCCGGCCCGACCGCCCTTCAAAGGCCGTCACACACATCCTCTCCCCGCCCGTCTGACATGTTGTTGCCCCCCTCCTTTCCCCTCCTGCCTCCCGGCGCCATCGGCCGCGCGCGCGTCCTCCTCCGGCCCTCCTTCTGCCCGCCGCCAGCCCTTTCCGACATCCGGAAGAGGCGCTCCCTCCGGCGCCGTTTCCGTCCCAACCGCCCTGCCCGCTGCTTTCCTCCCAACCACAAGTCATGCCGACGTGGCTCGACGTAACCCGCCCCCTGCCGTCAGTCGCCGCCCGTCCCTCGCCCCGTCCGAGTCCAGCCCCTTCTGCCCTCGCCTGGCCGAGTACCCCAGCAGCCTTCTCGCCCTCGGCCAGCAGCTGACCCACCCGGAGATCGACTCCTGCGAAAGCTCGGTCTCGCTGGCGGCTCCTGCCTCCTCGCTCCTCCCTTCCTCCGGATTATCATCTGGCCCCCACTGCTCGTCGGACCTTTCCTCGCTACCCTCCTACACGTCGCCCCCTTCGATCGTCGCCGGCCTCACTGCCACCCCGCCCGGGACCAGTTCCATCGGTGCCTCGGCTAGCGTTGCCGCTGTCGCTGCCGGTATTTCGGTGGTCACCTCGCAGTCGACGTCCGACCTTCCGACCAGCACCGCCACCACCACCGCCGCCGCCGCCGCCGCCGCCGCCGCCACCACCACCACTGTCGCTCCCGCCAGCACCGACATGCGCCTGCCGCCACCCCCCGCCTATCGGGATCACCACCTTGTGACTGGACCCCCGCCGGCCAATGTTGTCACCGCCCTCACCGCCGCGCACTATCTTGGCTGGTCCAACCAAATCGAGGTGCTGGATGCCCCAGTCGGCCCGGCCCAGGCGGCCCTCAGCGACAAGGCACATGCCCTGTCTTCCCTTGAGTATTCGACCGACACGCTGACATACCTGCTGAGCCGCGAGGTGCGAACGCGCCTTCTCGCCCCTTCTCGCCCCCATGCCTGAGACTCGATCCTGATCCCGCCCCCTCCATGCCCCCCCCCTCCCCCCTCCCCCCGCATCAGGACACCTACATGGCCTCGGCTGACTACATGGCACACCAGGGGGTTGTCACGCCGGCCATGCGGCGCGTCCTCATCGACTGGCTGGTCGAGGTGGCCATCGAGTACAAGCTCGGCTCAGAGGCCCTCTACCTGGCAGTCAACTACATCGACCGGTTTCTCTCCAAAATGCACGTGGCCCGGACGATCTTCCAGCTGGTTGGCATCGTCAGCCTCATGATCGCCGCCAAGATGGTCTGCGTCCGCCAGCGCATCCCCCCTCTGTCCACCTTCGTGGCCGTGTGCAATAGCATCTACGACGCGCGCGACCTTCGCGCCATGGAGCTCTGCATGATGGAAACCCTCTCCTTCGAGCTATGCGCCCCGACATGCGCCTCCTTCAATCCTCGCTTCCTGCAGATGGTCGAGCATGTCAAGGTCGATGAGGATGTCTTCAATGTCACCTGGGTGCGCATGCCGCCGGTGCTCCCTCGCCACGCCTCCCCCTTGCTCCGGCCGGATTGACTGACCTCCGCTCTTTGGGCGCCTTTCTCTCCCCCCCCCCCACCCTCCACCCTCCCTCTCTCATGCACGCGCGCACGCACGCCCGTGCAGTTCCTCACCGAGCTGGCCCTCCTGAGCTACGAAATGGTCTCCTTCCGCAAGTCCCTCGTCTCGGCCAGTGCTCTCTTCATCAGCCTGTGCGTGACATCGCGCGCCCCGCCGGCCCTGTCGTCCGAGGCCTGGGCCGCGTCCGAGGAGGGCATTGCCGCCCATGCCGCCTTGCCCCCGGCCTATTGGCACCTGCAGCACCTGCACCTGCAACAGTCCTACCATCAGTATTTGCTCCAGGTGTATGGGCAAATCTGGCCGAACTACCTGGCCGAGGCGGCCGGCTTCTCCATCTCCCAGCTGCTTCCGTGTGTGCGACTTCTGCATGCCCTCTTCATTGAGGCGTGCGGTGGGATCCCTCGGGCCCAAGTGTCCGACCTGGGGCCTGACCCCGAGGCAGCCAGCGCCGCCTCGCTGAGCAACGACCCGGAGCCGGCCCCGGCCGGTCCGGCGGCCCTCGACACCACCTCCGAGGGGCTGGACAATGCCCCGGAAGACACCGCGGCCCTCACCGCCCGGGCTGCCGGCCTGATGCCGGTCCCGGCTGCAGTGGCCTTTGCCTCGGAGGACCAGCCCATCCGGCCATCCTCGGCGGCCATTGCCGGCGGCTCCCAATGCGCTGGCGATGGTGGCAGTCCCCGGCTGCAGCCGGGGCCCGGCCGGTCTTCGGCCGCCGCCGCTGCCGCTGCCACCGCCTCCCCCATGTTGGCCGCCTGCCGGCCACCCCTGAGTCCGATTTCGCTGCCCCCCTCTTCCGAGCATCTGGCCCGCGCGAATGCCATCGGAGTCGATGCCCCTGGCCCTGGCGCCGCCCCCGCGGCCGGTGCCGGCCATGCATACACTGCCCCTCAGGCGGCTGACCAGCCCTGGACCGTGGTCACCGCGTCCCCTTCCGTCGGGCCGGTCCCCGCTTCCGGCCCTGCCCCTCGGCCTGAGACTCCAGGCGCTGATGATGGGGGCGATGCCTCTCCCCGGGCGCCGGCGCCCGCGGGTCAATCCGCCTCGCCCCCGGCGCCGCTTCCCCCGGCGCCGCTGCTATCGCAATCGGCCATCGTGCAGAAGTTCAAGCCCTGCATCGATCGCCGAGTCAGCCTGCGCCCGCTGTACCTGGCCGAGCTTCCCTGGTTCGACTGGGTGATGCCTGATCCATCCCCTCAGCATGGCCATGCCCCGCAGCCAATGCCGCAGTCGCAACCCCAGTCGCAGCACTCACAGCCACAGCCGCAGTCTCCTGCTCAACAGCCGGCTTCGGCTCCTCGGCCACCGATGAGACTCCGCCCAATCCCGAGCCCGGTGCCCCACTCCCAGGCCTTCCACCAGGAGGCGGCTGGCAACCTCCTCAATGGGGGCCAGCGTCCGAAGCGCTCGGCCACCATGGCCGCTTTCATCCCGGAGGAAGGCACCATTCCTCCCCGCCACGCTCTGACCGTGGCTGCTGCTGCTGCCGTCGCCGTCGCCGCCGTCACCGACGATTTACACAAGCGCCGCCGTTTGGATCGGCCCCACTCGGCTCAGCCGACCCAGTAACTGGGCATCCGGCCGTCCCACCGGCATTTGCCTCTCCGTCCCCCCCCCCCTCCCGTGACATTCTCCCCTCGCCAGGAGATGGCAGGTGGGGAGGGGGTTCAACCGCTTAAACAGTTTTCCCCCAAGCGGCGCCCCCTTCCCCTCCCTCACCACTCGTCTGCGTCGAAGAAAAAAGAAAAAAGAGAAGAGGAGGCCAAAAAGCGCCACCCCCCCCCCCC